TATCTCAACTACCCATAGGTTAATTCTGTTTTTAGTTACCTAAATTGATAATTAGGAAATTTTACTAAGCTTGATATATCATGTCATTTATCAAACATGGTAAACATGAGCCACTTTAGGGTTGCACAGTACTCTAAAAGTTGGATATAATGAGGGGCAGACACACAGAATTCACTCAGAAATAGTTTGAAAAATAGCCCAGGCTTTTTGCATCACTGACTTCTATGGGCTGAAAGGGTCATGTGAACCAGCCTCCAAGGAAATGAGAAGCATTATGTCTTGCTTGGCTTAAGGATTGCTTTGGATAAATTGCCCTTTAGTTCCACTTTGGTAAAACAAAGATGATGATGAAACTCTGGCCAATTCATTAGAAGCCAGCTACAAGTTCTCTTGGAATTCTTATAATGACAGCTGAGATTAAAAGCTGCAAAATAAAACTGGAATCCTGGGTGCGAAATCCATGTTTTGATGTAATTTCTGAAACATTTGATTTGAAGAACCACTGATAGTTGTGATGAGACTACCCCAAGTTCCTAGGCTCTTTCTCCTTCTTATATAGCTCTGGCTGATATATGACCAAGACTTCCAATATATTCAAAGCCAAATTTGATAACAAAGCAGAGTCAAACACTGCCAAGAATTTGACTAGCTGCATTTTTTCTTGGTCCTCCTTCCACAGTTTTAAATGTGGACTTGATATATTTATTCTGGAAAGCATATCCCTAGATAGATATTTCTGGCAAGACATTTTTTCCACATAAAACATACTTTATATAGAGCTGGATGAATACTGGAAAAGTGCAAGTCATTGCTCATGTTTTTAAATGAATTTGCAGCAGCTTTCCTTCCTCCCTTTCCCTTTGCTTTCCTAAATATTCACCCCAACTGGTTTCGGTGCTATTTGACATAATATTTCTGTTTCAGAAGCACATCTGTGAATATTGACACTGGCAATGTTAAACAAGACATGAGATTAGGAAAACTGGAGAAAGTAAGGCTTCCTCACCTCAATGGACACAAATGCTATAGAAATTTCCACATGGTTCCGCAGGAACCATTCACTATTCAACCACCCTTTTTTAGGCTGGGAATTCTGGGAGCTGTAGTTCTAACACAGTGGTTCTCAACCTTCCTAATGCCTCGACCCCCAACCATGTGGTCGTAAGTCAAGGATTACCTGTATTTCCCTGTGGGTGGGGCAGGAGGAGGCGTGCATGCTCCGCCTCCTCTCCTGCGGCTGGAGCACACACTGGGCAGGCCGAGGGTGCACGCAGGCCATTGCCCAGCAACCGCTTCGGCCTGGAAGTGCCACGCATGCGTGGTGCTGCCCCCTGCACCGGCTGAGGCGTAGCTGGCAAGCGGCAGTGATGGTGCAGGCCGACCACTGGCTGGGCCACCAGCTGGCCCAGACCAAGGGAGGTAAGGCACCCACCGGGCACCACGCACGCCATCAACCCTCCCTGCACCCACCGGCCTCCCACCTCCCACCCCTGGCCCTCTTTTACTTACACTTAGTAGTTGCTCAGCAGGGAGGGGTGGAAATGTCCAGAAAGCTCACCTTAGCTGCAGACAACTTGCAGCACCGTTTGCAGACTGGGACTTTTGGCAGGCTCAGGAGGGCAGAGACAGCCTGGACAATTCCTAATGGCTTTTGAAAGCCAATAGAATTAGACTCTATTCAATAGATTCTATTGGCTTTCGAACGCCAATAGAATAGAGTCTCTTGAATAGAGTCTATTCTATTGGCTTTCAAAAGCCAATAGAATAAGAGGGAGTAGCACAGCTAAGGAAAAGGGGGAAAAATGGCAGACTGCGTTGTTTGGCGGCCCCCGTGAAATGGTCGTTCGACCCCAAATGGGATTGTGACCCACAGGTTGAGAACCGCTGTTCTAACACATGTAGAAGGATACTGGAGAAAAAGATGGAGTATTTTTCTGATGGCCTCTTCTGATTTTTTTAATGCAAAATGGGAAACTACAAAAAAAATTGCTATTCTTGGAACACCATTTTTAGCAAATTACTTACTCAGCATTATATTTATTCTATGTCATCTTATGTAGCAAAGACCTGGAGAGACCCATCAAAGATGCCTCATGCAGAAATAGATCACGTGCACATGAGTATGCATGCATGTAGCACAGCATAATACTCCTGTTTTTACCAATAAATGATTTTTTGGGGGGGAGAGGGGTTTGTACAGTGTCACTATATTCCACGGTCACTGAGGACATTTTACTGCTGTACTGACATTTTTTCAAAATTGTGTGAGGAAGTTGCCCAAAGAAAGGAGTGCAAACAAATGTATTGTTTTTATATTGGAAGGGTCAAAAATTGGCTTGATAACTAACAAGGTAGCACAGGTCATTCATAATTCTAAGTTTTCATATGGACACAACTCATTCATTCATGGCCAGGGCTTTTTTTTGTCGTAGAATGCCCAGAACAGAGTTCTGGCACCTTTTTTGGATGAAACCTTGTAGGGTAGGCAAGGCGGGTTGTATGACATGTGTGAGTTCTGGCACCTTTTATTATTTTTTTACAAAAAGAGCACTGGATCTGGCTAATTATTTTTAAAGTTGAGCAAGGCTTTGAAGGATGTCAGCCACACCCTGATGCTTCTAACTGAAGTATTAGAGCAAGGGTGTCAAACTCAATTAGATTGAGGGCCGCATCAGCATTGCAGTGGACCTTGGGGGGCTGGGTGGGTGTGACCTACTGGGTGGGTGTGGATAGAGTGTGTGTGGCCTACTGGGTGGGTGTGATAGAGTGGGTGTGACCTACTGGGGGGCATGGCCAGCTCTACATCATTTGCGTCAAGGGTGCCTGTGGGGGCCTGGCCAGGAGTGGGACAGATCTGAGGGTCTCTGGCAGAAGGGGGTGGGGCCAGGACAAGTGCCAAGACATGGTCCACTGGAGGAGCCTCACTGTTCCTCTCAGGCCATGTGGGGAGGGGCTGGATGGTGGTGCGGGCTGCCTGGAGCCCTTGGCAGCAGAGGTCAAATGCCCAGCCTCGCCCTTGAGCACCCACAGCACCAAGCCCAGCCCCACTTCCCCAAGGGGGCACCCAGCTGCACTTACCTCCTCCTCAAGGCTTCTGCTGCTGTGCTCTCCTTACCCAGGTTGCTCATGATGGGTACGAAGGCAAAGTCAGAGAGAAGCCCATTCCCTCTCCATGGGAGGAGACCTGGCTTTGTATCCAAAGCTTCCTTAGCAATAGGATGGAAGACCCCCAGGATAGGCCAGGAGGAAGGGGCAAGGGCAGCAGAGCAGGACTAGGGCAGGAGTTCCCTCAGACCCTCCCTCTCCTTCTTTCTTTCCTTTCTTCCTAAGTACAGAGTGGTAGGAAAATATTTGAGATGAGGGAGGGAGAAAAACAGGCAAGAAATGCAGCTGGTCTTGGCGCTGTGAGGAGAGCACCCCACTGCCTGCCAAACCCGGCAGGCTGGGAGCTGGATTCGTGCTGCCCAGTTCAGCCTCTTGGTGCTGTGAGGAGAGCGCCCTGCTGCCTGCCAAAACCCCTCTCCCGGAGCCCATCAAGCCAGGTAGGTGAAGTAGGAGAGGGCCATTTGCTGGCCACTTCCAGGCGATGGTGCATTTCTTCATTCCTCACAAAGGGTAATACCTCCCCAGCATGCACCCAGGGGCAGGGCTGACATGGCAGGAGCTGGTTCCTCACTGTTTCCAGACAGTCTTGTGGAGTTAAGACTGAATGCATTTCAGCATAGATGGCCACCACCAAATTGTACGTTGGCTCCTGGCTGGCCTGGGCCAGGGCCAAGATAGAGGGGGCCATTCCCTCACTGTTTCCAGGATGGCTTCGTGGGCCACATGAAACCATGTTGCCAGCCACATCCAGCCCCCGGGTCTTGTGTTTGACATGTCTGTATTAGAGTGTGCTATGGCAGAAAGTGTGTGCCATGAGAGAAAGTGTGTGCTATGGCAGATGTAGCCTCTCTACATACTTTATTTCTTTTACACATTTCCAATATTTGAGCTGGGAGGTGTATTATTAAGTAGATATATTATTGTTATGCTTTCCTGATGCATACATGCTGGCTGAGGAATTCTGGGAGTTGAAGTCCACAAAGGGCCAAGTTTGAAGACCTCTGATATACACTATTTTCATTGCAATAATGTTATATGAATAAAATAAAAAAACTCTCCAGAACTTTATTCCTTGACTAACCTGTACTGAATTAAAAATAATTCTTTATAAAGTTCTCTCAATGATGATGGATTGGGCATATTTATTTATAAGATTGATTAGTAAGCTTAGCAAACAACTCAGAGTGACATATAGCATTTGCATATGTGTGCACATATTCACAGCCCCCAAACCTACACATACCTGCAAAAATATGCATAATAAGACAATTAATTGATAGCAGTCTAGTTTAAAATATAATAAGCCTCAGCAGCACCAAGAGCTAAAAATATCACCGAGTTAAATACTTCAACTAGAACATAGCAGCCAAGAAAAAAAAAAATCCACAGAGGATTGAAAAGCCTCTGAAAGAAATCAAACTAGGATCTTATCTAACATTGCAAAGGACAACAATGTAGGATCCAGGCAGACTTTGTGAGAGGAACATTTCATAATTTAAGGTACCTGTTCATAAGTAGCCCCATAAGATTATTTAGAGCAAAGACACTGAGGCTATTTCAGGAAATGTAAAGAAATACGTGGAAATAACTGGTTCTATGGGTACTGTGCTCTGTGCTCTGAAGGTTTATAATTTAAAATAAGGCTTTTACCTAAACCTCAGATAGAAACTGAAACTAGAAAAGACAGTGCATTGCAATATTCTCCCCTCCAGTCCCCTTTCTTGCCTGTCTTTATTAACAGAACTACCAGGATTGTCTCCACAAACAACTTTGTATCTAAAGGTATTCTAAATAGAAGGTTACTTGGACATAGATATATAAAGACAAGCTATTTATACCCAGTGAGGGTTAGAGCCTGCCATGACCTCTTCAGATGAATTATTCTGTTTTCTAAGAAACAGCAGGAACTACCTGAAGGAAGATTTCCATCAAGACCAATCCTGAAGAATAATGGCCTAATTCAAATGACCTTGCAGAACTGTTGTCCAACATTCCAGATCCTAAAATCTTGGATTCAGAAAAAAGGGCACAGCAATGAATCTTCTTCTAAGTAGATCACCAAAGAGCAAAGAGTGAAATCAGTAATAGTTTGCTTGGTAATATTGTGAAATCACAACAACAAAACCACCACAATTTAAGGTAAGCAATGTGCTTGAGTGGACACCACAAGCTTCCAGGGTTAAAACATGGCCTTATTCAGATGTTGAATATCAATATCAATATCAGTTTGATTTAAATACTTCCTGCTTAATTTGGATAATATGATCTCTACAAAAAATTGCTTATGCTCATCATAAGCTTATGGTTTTTGCTATAGAAAAACTTTGTACATTGACCATACTTTGGACCATTAACTCTGACAATCTTAAGGGGTGAAAATGCTCTTATTCTATAATTAGGTAAATCAAATTTATTATATTTTGAATAAATTGAATAAAGAAATTGAATAAAGAAATAAAGGCACTGAATAAATATATAGATAAATATTTAAACTGTCTAATATATAAACCTCTGGAGCATAAACACTTATGGGAAATAAATTAACAATGACACGACTGCCTCTTAATGACAAATAGATTCACAAGCAAATATACCCAGACTAGACACCTGATCTTTCAGAAATCAAAAAGTTTCTGGTAGAACCTTTTCAGAGTAACAGTTTATTAAAGGCACATCATTCTACTACTTCACCTACATCTTGCATCTTCTTCTTATGGAAAAAGAGACAAAACTCTAGTTTTGGATTAGCCTCATTCTTGCGTTGCTGTAACAGCATGTGTGATAATGAAGGCTATGGCAGTAGGTGGAAGCAGTATGGACCTACTGTTGGTAATCAAATAACCTGAGCTTGCTGGACTTCTCTATCTTCTCCAGAGGAGGACAAAGAGCTTAACACATCAGATCAAGCCAGCTAGATAACACCTCTGCTTGCAGCACTGCATTTTAAATCTACAGGATTTGTGTTCCGGTGGTTTCCTGTTGGTGTTTAAGAAGCATGTTTATATCAAGGGTTCTTGACCTTAAAAAAACAAACAAACAAACCACAAAGTGTCTGGGTAAAAATTCCCAGCTCTACTTTCAGAAAATGGTAATCCAAGTAGGAACAGTACACTACAAAATCACATAACTCACCCCAAAGAACAGCTACCGTATATGAATTAGATAGAATACTCTTTTTAGCTGTCTAACTTAGGTGGCAGATTACCCATCTATTGAATTTCCTTTTTTCTAATTAAAAATTCATAGGAAACTCATCAGATTAGATCTAAGGAAGATGAGTAGTGCATTCAGAATTAAATTAAACACATACAGTATAGAAAATTAATCAGATTAGATTTTGGGAAAATGGGAATTATGTGCAGTGAGAGGGATAGAGGGAGAAGCATCAGGAAAGAAACATCTTTTCTTCAAAAATACATGTGTCTTGTAAAGGCACACAGCTTTTTAAGGACACTTCTCAGCTACTTTATATTTTAGTATCACACTGACTTCCAGCATAGTTCTGTTTTCCCATTCTGTTGATGGATAAATACTAGCTGTGATCATTCTGCCTTGGGTTTGCTATACAGAGAATGAAAATTCAAATTAATTCCACCTGGATTTCTTGTGGAATTACTTTTAGATTTACTCCACTTAAGACCACCTTGTCAAACTACCAGGTCTAGAATGACAAAAACTGCTAAGAATTTCAGAAAGTAATTCAGTTGTGTCCCAAAGATGCTTTTTCACAAGGCAACTGGACTTTCTTGTTTTTCTTTGAAAATGTTTCACTTCTCATCCAAGAAGCTTCTTCAGCTCTGACTGGATGATGAGGAATGGAAGGATTTATACTCCTTGCAGACTGATGGTCATTTGCATTCTTTTAGAGAGTCGTTGAGGCCACTTGGAGGTTTAACTGTGTCCTCAAGACCATCTGAGCAGTGCAAATGGGTGTGGAGCCTTCTTGGAACTACTGAAAGGACTTTTTGTAGACTGGAGTTAGATGATGTCGTATCCCTCCCCCGCTGTTGAGAGAAGACTATTCAATTTTGACATAGATGGCCTTTTTGACCCCTCTTTCAAACCAGTGGTCCTCTCTGTCCAAAATGTGAACTTTGCTATCTTCGAAAGAGTGGCCTTTGTCTTTTAAATGAAGATAGACTGCTGAATCTTGTCCTGATGGGTTTGTTCTCCTATGTTGTGCCATGCATTTATGAAGTGGTTGTTTTGTTTCCCCAATTTACAGATCTGCACATGCATTGTACTACATATACCACATTGCTCAGTTTGTGTCTGAGTGTTTTATCCTTGGGGTGGACAAGTTTGTGTCTTAGTATGTTCTTGGATCTGAAGTTGTGTTCTTTCCTTCCCTTATACCATAGCGCAGTGTTTCCCAACCTCAGCAGATTTGTGTGGACTTCAACTCCCAGAATTCCCCAGCCAGATAGGCTTCTAGGGAATTCTGGGAGTTAAAGTCCACACATCCTAAAGCTGCTGAGGTTGAAAAACACTGCCATGGGGTATCCCATGTAGGGAAAAGTCGACCAAAAGTATTTTGTTGCATATAGCCTAAAACTTAAATTTTTATTTTTATTTTATTTATTTATTAATTTTTTGTGCAAGTGCCTCTGGGTAGCATAAAAATCCCCCAATGTGACACTCATAAGCACCAATGTACTAGAAGAGACTCACTTCACACCCACCAGGCTATTTTCAAATATTATTTTAGTATAAACAATATTAAAGGAATTCACATGGCGAAGCAAAACTGTAGCCTCTAGGTTAATCTTGATTCCAAAGAATGTTCTGGGATTCCATGTAGGTCCCATATTTTAAAAGTTATCACACTTTAAAATCATGTAAGTGTGTGTAAAGTATACGTTCTATCATGGAAAGTTTTTTTTTTCCTCAAAATTAAAACTAATTCCAATAATTCAGGCCTATTTGTAAAGGGAATGATTGGAAAGCCTTTTGTTTTTCTCTCTATTTCTTCATAAAGTTAACATGAGTAGGTGGAATGTCAAGCAAATATAGAACAGTATATCATATTGTTGATGATTAAACAACAAAAAAATCAAATAAACTTTTATGAAATAATTTAAAATGAGCTGTAAACAGCTTCCCTAAATATTGCAACACATCTGTAGCTGTCAATTCTTGTTTTCCCTGAATCTCTCTCTCTCTCTCTCTCTCTCTCTCCCTCCCTCCCTCCCTCTCTCTCTCTCTCTCTCTCTCTCTCTACACACACATACACATACACACACACACACACACACACACACACATTTATATCAAATAAAAATAAAGAGCTCTGGAATGTAAGGTAAAAGGCTTTTTTTATTAATTGCTGAGCTTTCGTTAACAACCTGTTAACATCATCAGAGCATGTGCACATAGCGTGCTTAAGAAGCTCTTAAAGTCATAAAGGTGCCCAGTCAGAGACAGGCAGCTGTATATAGGCAAGCTCCCTAATCACCTAACATTCTAACTCTGATGACGTCAATAGTTTGGATGATGAAAGCTCAGTAAGTAACTTTTTTACTCACAGGCTTGTTTATATTAAACAGTCCTGTTTATTTTTATCCTGGTATTTGTTTTTCTTATATTTTTATTGAAATGCCCAGGATTCACATTTTTAATGATATTAAGGAATATATATATATATATATATATATATATATATATATATATATATATATATATAGGTCTTTGGTTGTTCGGGTTTTCTCCCACGTAAAATTGGAAGTGTCTTGGCGACGTTTCGACGAAGTCCCATTCGTCATCTTCAGGCTGGTGCTTTCAGCTTCGTGCTCGAGCAGCAGTTCCTCACTGCTGCTCGAGGCACGAAGCTGAAAGCACCAGCCTGAAGATGACGAATGGGACTTCGTCGAAACGTCGCCAAGACACTTCCAATTTTACATGGGAGAAAACCCGAACAACCAAAGACCTACATACAAATACCCGCAAAAACCTCAGAAAACATATATATATATATATATATGTATATATATATATATATGTATATATATATATATATATATTATATATATATATATATATATATATATATATGCAGGTCTTTTGTTATTTGGGTTTCTCCCACGTAAAATTGGAAGTGTCTTGGCGACGTTTCGACGAAGTTCCATTCATCATCTTCAGGCTGGTGTTTTCAGCTTCGTGTTCCTCAAAGCACGAAGCTAAAAACACCAGCCTGAAGATGACGAATGGGACTTCGTCGAAACGTCGCCAAGACACTTCCAATTTTATGCGGGAGAAAACCTGAATAACCAAAGACCTATATACAAACACCTGCGAAAACCTCAGAAAACATATATATATATATATATATATATTTGTTTTATGAGGTTTTCGTGGGTGTTTGTATGTAGGTCTTTGGTTATTCGGGTTTTCTCCCACGTCAAATTGGAAGTGTCTTGGCGACGTTTCGATGAAGTCTCATTCATCACCTTCAGGCTGGTGTTTTTGGCTTTGTGCTTCTAGGAGCAATGTGTGATCATAGCTGTTTCTTCCTTGTTTACAGCTCATTTTCTTCCAATGAATTACAAAGAAATAAGATTACCAAACTAATCCAAAAAGAAACCCCCACTAAAACCCAAGACAGAGAACAAGAAAATGGCAAAGCCCTCCTCCCTTACATAAAAGTCACCACAGACAGAATCAGTAAGATCCTCCACAAACACAACATTAAGACAGCATTCTGCACAAACAGAAAAATATCCACCATCCTAAGAAACCCCAAAGATAAAATTTAATTAGAAAATCAAGGAGTATACGAAATCCCATGCACCACTTGTCCCACCACATACATCGGACAAACCAACAGAAGAATAAGTGCACACATTGAAGAACATAAGAACTCAGTCAAAAAGGAGGAACCAACTTCTTCCCTGGTCCAACACCTTAAAATCACAGGACATGAAATTGACTTTAAAAAGACCAGAACTATCGCCAAAACTGAACACTTTAATAACAGAATAATCAGAGAAACCATCGAGATAGAAAAACGCCCACACAGCATGAACAAATGAGATGATACCTCCCGCCTACCAGCCATTTGGAAACCCACCTTTATTGACAAACGAGTCCCTAACACAAAGAATGACACCAGACCCACACTCACAAAAGCCACACAGGATGTC